ATTATAATAAATGCATTGGAAAAGTCATATTGAAAGTATTAAAGCAATTAGATTCCAAGCTCAACAAATAAGAGATACTTTATATCAATTAGCAGAAGCTAGTGAGGATCCTAAAACAAAAAATGAAGCCATTTCTTTAGCAACATATGAGATTGAAAATTTTAAATTTCTATTAGGCATGATTATTTGGTATGAGATATTGTTTGTTGTTAATACGGTTCGTAGATATTTTCAATATAAAGATATGGATATTACTCTTGCAATAGATCACTTGAAAGGTCTTATTTCTTTTTCTAAAAGCTATAGAGAAAATGAGTTTATATTTTCTGCGATCTTAGCTAAGGAAATTGCGGAGAAAATAAATATAGAACCAAAATTTCGTGAAAAGCGTACGATAAGAAGAAAGAAACAATTTGATGAGATTGAAAATGAAGATAAGAAATTATCTATTGAAGAATCTTTTAGAATTAATTATTTTACATATTTAGTCGATCATGTGATTTCCTTTCTTCAAAATAGGTTTGAACGAGTTTAAAATATATGAAGATAATTTTGGTTTTCTTTATAGTGTAGAAAAATTAAAATCACTTGATTATGATATTTTGAAAAAAAATATTTAAATCTTGAAAACTTTTTAAAGCACGATATGCTTTCGATATTGATGGTTTAGATTTATTTTCAAAAATAAAAGTTTTAAAATAAATTATAACTATGGAAATGAAAACACCACTTGCCATACTAAATTTTATAAAAAAAGGTAAATTCTTTTCCAAATGCATGGATAGCATATAACATACTATTAACTATCCTTATTACTGTAGCTTCGGTGAAAGAATGTTTTTCAAAATTAAAATTAATAAAATCTTTTTACATTCAACTATGTCACAAGAAAGATTAAGTAATTTGGCTATATTATTAATCGAAAAAGATTTTCTTTGTAAACTTGAATATAAAAATTTAATTAGAGATTTTGTATCTCATAAAGCAAAAAAAAAAAATAAATAAATAAAAAATAAAAAATATTTATTTTTTTTATGAAAGAGTCTTTAAAATATTATTTTGCCTAGGGCCACATAGATTATAAAGCCGACCTTGCTTACACCGGCACCATGCAAAGCTCGTACTTGCTATAGCACTATGATCTACGTTGTTATTTTCTTGAGAAGTAGTTTTCTTAGATGCAATGTGCTCGACAACTTCATATGTATCTATAACCTTGATAAGGATAAACCAGATTTTTTTATTTAAGTGTAAGTATATAAATCAAAATGTAATAAAGCTAGAGAACTAGCAAAAGTAGCATATACAGGATATACAAGAAATTGGGAACAGGCTCCCAAAGAAAACCAAGCAAAAGAGCTAGAACTAGAAGGTTATTCAAGGAATCGACATTATTTTAGATTCCAAGAAAAACCAATTAGTAAACTTATATTAGCTAATTGGAACCATTTACGGAGGCTCAACAACAAACAAAAATTTTTGTTGGAAAGACCATAATAGTGATGCAAGAATTGACAAAATCGGCTATTAACCAAGCCTAAAATCAATAACCGGTAGGAACATGAGCAACGAGAGGCTACCGAATATCGGTAAGCGGGAAGGAAAGCGTAACCATCAAGAGCCCAACTAGGCGAGACCAAGCGGGCCTAACAAAGCAAAAGGTAGCGAGCATTGCAGAGCATCAAAGAAAAAGCCACAACCTACTAAACGCTAGGAACGGAAGCTAGCAAAACCAATAGCGACAAAAGGAATCCAAAACGGAATAGACAAGCAAGCCCAAACCAACTAGGCGAGCTACACCAAGCGAGGACCTAACGGAGGCTAACACTAGCAAGGCTTTCACAACAAACCAGCCAAGGCAACCGAGGTAGCGACCAAGCCAATGGCCTAGGGAAAAAGCGATAGCTGGAACCTTTAACGGACATTCGAGATGGAACAAAAGGGAGGCGGTCTGCAGCTTTTAGCTTACCTTTGACCGCTACCCATAGCATAAATGCATGCCTCGACAAAGCTCATTGTTCCCAAACTCCTCTAGTCCAATTGACCAAGTCACCCGTAGGTTGAAGGTTATGATAGGCATTACGGACGAATTTGTCTCGAACCTAATTTTCCAGTCTCTCCACCACCCGAGCACTATCCCTAAATTTCTCGGTTAGCCTATCTCTTATAGAGAGAATCACCTTCCACAAGGGCGAGGTAGTCCTATGTGTTTGGCTATCCCACACTATGTGGTCTCTCAAGTAAAAATGATGTACCCATTGGATTTAAAACTAGTTTGTTTTGAGATGGATATCCCAAAGTCAGTCCGGCGAGGAAGCACTAATTTAGGGTTTTCAAATCCCGGAGCGCCAAACCCTCTTATTTCTTCGGATAGCACGACTCCTTTCAAGCTACTAAGGCAAAATGACTTTTCTTTATGTCCCCTATCCAAATGAAATTCATACAAATACCGGTGATTTGGGAAATGACCGTAGTCGGAAGAGGAAATATGGCCAATTAGAATTGGATTATACCTGCTAGAATTGAACGCGAAGCTCCAACCTCGCCAAGCATAAGAGAGGTGTTTCTCCATCCAAGGCCGGACTCGCCGACTCTAAGCTCGCAATAGAGGAGAAAACTAGTTGGCTAAAAGTCTATGGGGACTTAGAGGAACCCCAATATATCTAAAGGAAAAGGTTGCTTCGCAAACCCCGTATCTTGAACGAGAGTCCGCTGTCAGCTCGCTGATTCCCTCAAAATAAATTGACGATTTAATCGCATTTATAGTCGACCCGAAAGTATCGCCAAATTTACGTAGTCGATGAGATAAACACCGTATTGAGGCCCTATCTCCTCGACAAAGGAGCATGGTATCATCGGCAAATGCAATGTGACTAATTCTTTGAACCCCACACTGCAGATGGAATCAAAAATTATCCCTATCGGAAGCAAGTTGGAGCATGCGAGAAAAATATTCTATGCATGCTAAAAAAAGGTAGGGGAGAGAAGGTCCCCTTATCGAATCCTACCTTTTCCTTGGAAGAAATCAAAAAGGTTTCCATTCATCGAAATAGAGTATGAGGGAGACTCTACACAAGTCATAACCAAGTGGACAAATGCATTCGGGAAACCAAGCTGCAAGAAGAGGTCTCTTAGGAAAGACCATTACATCTAATCAAAGGCTTTCTTGAAGTCCACCTTCGGAAGACATCTCGGGGAGGCACGCTTCCTACCATACTACTAAAGCAACTCCTGGAGAAGATGAATATTGTCCGGCATCTTTCTCCCACCCAAGAAAGCATTCCGCATTGGGCTAATAACATCAACCAAAGCATGGGCTAATCAGGAAGAGATGATTTTTAAAATTGCTTTGTGCACAACATTACGAGTAGGATATCGACCTAAAATTCGAAGGAGATGAAGCATTAGTCGATTTGGGAACTAGGGCAATCGGGGAATGATTGACTTGCTTAAGTAGGCTCCCCGAGGTAAAGAAGTCCTTCACTGCAAGCACAAAAGTTAGCACCCACGACATCCCAAGCTTGCTTAAAAAACAGAGAGGAGTAGTCATCCGGACTTGGGGCTTTATCGTTTTCAATCATAAACAAAGTAGCCTTGATATGCTCATTGATAACCGAGGCTAAGAGAAAATCATGAGCATTAGGATCAAAGTGAGGCCCGCTGGAAATAACTTCAACATCAAGAGGAAGAGTGGCCCTAACAGTAGCTAAGCGATTTTTATAGTAATCAACAAATATGCTTCTCGGGCGATAAGCGAAGTGGTGAGTCGCCCATTAGTGTCCTTTATTACTACAATGAAGTTTCTCTTGTGGCTTTGGCTCATCGAGTAGAAGAATCGGCTACCCCTCACTCTCTTTCTAGGTACTTGTATTTAAGTTTTTGGCTAAAAAACATTTTCTCCATCGATTTTAGGTTGACCAAATCCAGCCTTAGCGCCTCTTCCGCTCTAAAAGGCTCGCTACTATCCCTATCATTCCGGAGGGCTCGCTTGGTTGTGCTCGAGATCCGTAACGGCTACGGCAATTCTTTCGAAATGTGGCTGAAATGAAGCTTGTTTAGGTTCTTCGGGGGCCACTTTCGAGCCTTCAATTTTTGACATAAGACAAACATAGAAGCGCCTCTAGTGTCACGGAGCCAATGCCGATCCACAAGTTGGAGGAAGCTTTCATGGTGAGCCCACATATTAAAAAACTTGAAATTTTTTCGACCTTAAGGAGGCTAACTCGTCCATCTAAATCCAAGCTTGAGCATGATCGAAAAAAGCACTAGGCGGGCTGAAATGGACGAAACCGAGAGATGGGACATGGATCAAAGGGAGTTCGCTAAAACTCTATCAATCTTCATCCGGACACTTTCAACTGTTCCATGTAAAGTGGTTGCCCGTATAGGTGAGATCTCTAAAGCCAAGATCAAAGCAACGGGAACGAAAATCGATGTCTTATAGGTCGAGCCCGAAGCACCATTGTGCTTGTCATCCTATGAGAGAATCAAGTTGAAATCCCCAAGCACAAGCGATAGATAGTTAGGGTTCTATTTACGAAGGTCCTCCCGGAGCTCTCTTCTTTGAATAATCGTATTATAGTCATACACAAAAATGGCATTGAACACCGATCGATGAACAACGTTGCGATTCGACATGCGGCCCTTGAGCGAAACATCAAGAAGATCAAGCAAAACGGTATCAAGATTCCAAAAGAGGACAATACGGGCTTTGGAGGCATCCGTTGCATTAGAGATAAACCTCCACGAGCTTAATCCAAAACACGTGCATTTGAGCAAGCTTGGAAAGACTTAGTTTGGTTTCAACAAAAGCACAAACATCTATCTTCTTCTTTCTCATTAGGCCAGTAACCTCATGTTGTTTTAGGGGATTATTTGACCCCTAACATTTCAATTTAAAATTAATATAAAGCGAGTGAGGAGGTGGGAACCCCCTTCGCACTCCTTTTAGCCTTGCTTGCTCCTTCTCCTATCAAGAAGGCCATCGACTGGTTGTTCGCTCAAATAACCGGAGTCGCCTTATCCTCCCGAGCCTCCGGATTGGCGCTCGGAACTTCCTTGTCCCGCCTTACATAACCCAAACCATTTCGGCTTTTGAGACCGATAACCCTAGCACATGGACTCGTCCAAGCATACCACGGCTCGTCGAGATCTCTCGCAACAGTTTTCATAAGGCCATCGTGGCTTGGGTGAATCACCATACTTGCTAATACTCGCCTCAACGACCTTACCCTTACATTTCGAGCGGTAGATATAGGGCCTATATCCATCCGATTTTTCCGCTAAGTGCCGCACTTGTGAATGTTGCCTAGGCCGAGCGGGGACCAGCTGTCGAGGCCGAGGTTTGTAGTTCGAGCTGGGATTTAGGCTTGGCTTTACCGATGCATCGTCACTCATTCTTTGAAAGCAGCAGCTACTTCGAAACCATTAAGTCTAACTAATGTGCCTCCGATGTTACCTTGCCGGGAAGATTGATAACGGTAGAACCCATCTTGCGAAAAACACTAACCACGGCTCGGTTTGAGCTCCCAACCCCATTCATAATTGTTTCCTTATCCATACTAATCATTGTTGATTGCTTCCTACAAGAGGTAGTAGAGTGCCTCAAGACACGACAAGTCTTGCGGTAGGTAGGTAGGGTTTCATACATAACGGAGTTGGAGAAGGGTGGAGTCGTTTGGTAGCCTAATTTTTACTATGCTTGATAGCTCCTCCATTATGTTTATCTCGACCAAAACTCGAGGATAGAAAATCCATTCCATAGAGGCTATGAGCCGATCACACTGGATTGGTTTGCCAAGCAAGTCGGCCACTTTGGAGAGGCACAAGAGAGACCGAGCATTTAAGGGGGAGGTTAGAAAGCTTCACCTAAGCCGGTACCGACGACATTTCTTTGTACAAAAAATGAAAGAACTGCGGCATGGGTCTCGGCGGCGAGAGGTCAACCAAATATCAAGTATGAACCTCCATTCAACACCGATGATTTATCCTTTTACGAGGTAAATTTATAGACAAGCCAACTCGAGTCATGAATGGAGAGTGTAGCCCGACACTTCCATGTACTAGCAATAATTTCGTTTAGGGCCCTAAAACCCAAAGATTTCCAAGCAACATACTCAATCAAACAACATTTCCACATTCATATTTTGGGTCATCATCAAGCAAGACTTAGGTTTTATTTTCAGTGATATTAGTAAAATGTGTGAGCTTAGGGCACGATTCAGGACTACGATTATTAACAAACATGTCTCTCCATTTTCCAATAAAGGGTTGAGAAGTAACTAGGGCAAGCAGCATGTTTTGGCTAAAGCGGTCACCGGTGGAAGGCCCGGTCGATCCGGATGGGGGAGAGGCAGCTTCTCAAGCCCATTATTGGTCATATTATAGGAAATGTAACCACCATTCTACCGAGGAAGAGGTTGGGCATGAGCGAGTGGGAGTTCGGTCTCGGAACCAATTAGGCGGAAAGTGAGATTTGAAAATTTTGGCGGGAACCCAAATTTTCACTCGGATCTAAATCTTCCAAACTTTCATCTTTGGAGTCCGAGTCCTCTTCACTAGAGCAGGTCTTTAACTTCCACATTATCAAGTGGAGGAGGTTAGGTAACTAATTTGGACTTGGCGACCACGAATTTGGCAAATCTAAGTCGATGAACAATGTCCGCAATAGAATGACGAGGAAGAAGATCCATCCGTGTAGTAAGGGCTATCACCTGGTTCGGCTAAGGCTCTTCGTTCCTTCAATTTGGAACTAAATTTCTTCATTTTCTTGGCCATAAGACCCGAGAGAAAGAGGGTGGAGAGAGAAAAAACGGAGATAGATGAGAAAAAATGAGGGAGAAGGGAAAATAGATGGAGAGAGAAGAAAAGGTGAGTAGTAATCGTGAGGAGGGAGTGGAGAGGGCTAGCAGGAAAGAAAAACAGAAGGTTATAAGGCGAGATATTCCAACGGTGACGTCAATCGGATCCGAGGGAAAGAGCTCCATTGGAGGAGAGTGTCTCTCTCTACTTTCTCACTCCCGACGCGCACTTACTATAAACCGGATTTTCCCATCACGTCCGAAGGAAGAAAGTTACAAAATGTCATTCTCATTCAGTACACCTTTATTCCTTTTCAAAACATCATTCCATTTAGAGGTTAACACATAGGAAATATTTTTGTTGATGTTCTACTCCCTCAATCTCATTGTGCTTTGATGAACACTATCATCTTTAAGATTTAGTTCCACTAGCATCACTTTGTACCCTCAATCTCGTTTTCCTTTAGAAAATTATTTAAATCCTTCATTTAATTCAATGACATTGAGAAATGGTCATGATGCATATTCAAATAAGTTATGAATATTTGTTTCATGATCATCAACTTTATTTCATTGTCACGCCCTTCTTGATGATCTATCCAAACTTTAATTTGGGAAGAGAAATTGGGTGCAGATCCAAACCCAGTTTCTTCAAATCTACCTTTCCCATATTCTTTCTTTTCTTTGATGCTCTTTCTCTGACCCTCCTAATCATCCTCATTATCCACCATTTGGCATTTGAAGATTTTTTTTCTACTAGCTGCTGCACTATGTTTCTTTTTCTCGCCTTTCAATCTTTAATTTCGGACCATCTCGATAAGAACCGATATAGTAATGATGGCTTTTCTTGATAAACTTTTGTCCATTCATTCTCCTCTTTTTCTTGGGTACAAGAATGCCGAGCGAGTTTAAAACTTCATCGACATTACTATTAGTACTCGTGGAATCTTCTTGATCAGAACTTTTAATTTTTTTGAAAATAATAAACCCAAATTCTTCAATAGTTGCAGTATCAATACTCGTAGATTCTTCATGATCATTACCACTTCGAGGGCCTTTTTAGAAAGAAACCATTCTCCACATCCTCTCTTCTGGGTGTAAAACCCTCGAGTGGGTTCATAAATTGATGATCACCGTAATTAGCCATGGTACAACTGTTCTCGTCCTTCAAAGACTCGATAGAAAAGGAACTTGTGGATGCTCAAGTTGCTCGTATACGGCATCATAACAACGATCCCTTGTTTTCTACTTCTCCCTCAAAATCAACCTTTGTTCTATCGTGCCACTCACCAATTGCAACATCGTCAACATCGTCGGTGTCTCGCTGTCGATTCGACGAAAATGAGCTCATAAAGGTATTTGACTTCCATAAAAATACAAGATGAGTAGGAATATTTTTTATTTACTTTTTTTAAAATTTCTTATCATTTTTTTTCATATTAGAACCGAGAAATCGTGGGTCCAATTTTATCATCAAATCCTATGTTGTTGTTGGGTTATGTGCAAAATGTTTGATTATTTACCTAAAAGAATAAATGTGTTTTGCTCTTGCTCTTTATCTATCAAATGCCATTTTGAAGGCCAAGAGCAGTTGTACCATGGCCAATTATAGTGACCATCAATTCGTGAACCTCTCGAGGGTTTTGCACCTAAGAAAAGGAGAGGATGTTTGTCCTAGACTTGCCCACTTTCGTTTGTTTTCCATGCCTTAGAACAATATATCTTGCTCGTATTATAGATGTTGATGAGTCTTTAATGTACAAGCTCTTTTCTAGCTGCCTTGTCCTTGAAGATTTGGTGAAGGATGGGATGGTGTGCAAATTACGAATATTTCAATGTTATCATTGAAAAAATTGTCTATATTTTCAAAACGAGTTATTTGGCGAGTTATAGTCATAAGACTAATATTGATCCCATGAGTCTTAGGTATCTTGAAATTGAAAGACACTTCATGGGATGATTTTACCATGGTTGTTTCAACTAGCTCTCTAGTTGAAGCACATATTTATGATCGATGCTTGTCCGGGCTTTTTCATAGAATCTCCCAAGTTGAGTTTTTAGTGCTATTTGGTGATGCAACGATAAGATGTGGGAAATGATTATGTCCAGTAAATTGCTAATCTTATCGGTATTGATATTTGTTGATGTTTAGAGATAGACTTTTCATTTGAAGATCGGGAGCATATTTATGCACAAAATTATGAAGTGCTGATATAAGAGAGAAAAAGCCAAAGATTTTACCTCGTACACATTAATGGTGGGTGTAACACCTCGATTTAGAATCTCCTTGCGTGCGTATATATGCATGTTTAAATCTTGAGTGTGTGTGTGTGTGTTTTGTTAAACATGTAATGATTATGCTTCATGTATAAATAAAATACATGTTTTAGACTTGCATGAAATTGTGCTTAAACTTGTTTATATTAATTACATGATTAAGTTGTTAAGAATTAAAGTTATGTAGGAAAAAAATTAATGTATAAATATATGTTGCATGAATAATTTAATATATGAATATTTATTTAAGAAATGAATTAATATTTAATGTTTGCATAGAAAATAATTTAATGCATGCATAAATATTATGAGAGGTGAATAAATTATTTAATGCTTGATTTAGTAAGTTGTAAGATTAATTATTGAGGTTATAATAATTCAAGGATGTAATTGCAAGATTTTAGGAGTTTAGTTGTACAATTAAAAGATTTAGATGCTTGATTAAAATGATTTAAAAATTCAAATGACCACTATAAATTAGTAAAAAGCCTAGATAAGGGATGGATTATGAAAAATTGGAAGTTTAGCGACTGAAATTAGAGGACTCGATTGAACTAATTACAAGTTTAAGACCAAATTTTAAGATTTTCAAAAATTAAAGGACCATTTAATTCAAATGAAAATAGTCATGTATATTCATATTTAAGTCTAGAAAAATAAAGAGAATGAGGGGCTGGTATGTCGACAAAGAAAGTAGAAATGAAAAGAAAGAAAGAGATAAACAGAGAGAATTTTAGAGAAGAGGCATTAAATAAAGGATAGAGGGATTAATCCAAGTGTGTCGGACTTGACAAAATCACAAGAAAATCCTCCTCTATAAATCTAACAAAAAGAGGAAGAAGAAGGGTGATGGAAACTTGAAAACTCAAGAAAGATCAAGTTGAGCTCAAGGAAAATTTAAGATAAATTAAGCCTACCGACCACCTAAAACCACCCAAAACACCTTAAATACACCAAAACTATACTCCAAAAATACTTGAAGAGATCAAACAAAAAAGGAAGAAAAAAGGAGAGGTTTGGTTGAATCATTGAGGAAGATGGAGGAGGAAACTTCAAGCAATTAAGGAAGAATTTGATTAAGCATCAAGTAAGGTAAGTGTAGTCCTCACTACACCACAAGAAAATGATGAATTATTGCTTAATTGTTCATATTTTGAATTTTTGGAAATTGTGGGTTGATTGTTCAAATTATTGGGTTTTGGTATAATTGATTTATTTTGATGAATTGTTAATGGAAACATATTCATAGTGATTGATTGTTCATGTTTATTGACTTAATTGAAGTTGGGTTGATGAATTAAGTTTGGGTAAATGGAATTGGATGTTTTGTCCAACTTGATGAATTTAGGGGAAAATATGGGTTTCTTGATTTGGTGTCCTTTTGGTGGATTAAGCATGTCTAAAAGTATTTAATTGGAAAATTGATGTAGAATACCTTTATTGTTGATTTAGACCATAATCCTTAAAATTGGATTGTTTATATGTTTGTATGTGTTGAATTGGTGTGAATGAATATGTTGAGTGTGTTAATTTGATGAATATAGATTGGTTACTTAGTAAAATTTGACCAAATCATCGGATTAATTGTGAATGAATTAATTGATGTTAGATGGTATTTAAATGGATTAAAGAAATGATTTAATGTGAAAGCATGTGTTCATGTTTTGAATATTAGATGTTTTATAAAAGCATGTGTTCATGTTGTGAGTGAATAATTAATGATTCAAGTTGGTGTTTATATAGTGATTAATTGGCTAGTATTGCTTGAATTGACTTGATGTGGTTTTGTGTGTTATTTAGTTGATCATGCAATTGTAATGTTTACTATGGATTTCATGAAATGGTTTTTAGCATGTTTCATGATTTTCAAAGACAATAATCAAGTGTAGGGATTTTTAAGAAAATGGCTAGGCATGTCCTAATCACAATCACATGTTTAATCATGCCACTCAAAGAGAATGATTTGATATAAACTCTTTGTGAACGTCACAAGATTCATTGAAGAATCGCAGATTTCACAAGAGAGATGTTTAGTGCTTTTCATGATTTTCACGGACATAGTTTTCTATATTTGGTATGGATTAATTGATCACGGAAAACATATTTCTAACGTCACGAAAATGTATTTCATTGTATCATACAAATATGATTACACTTACTAAGCATTAGCTCACCTTTTATTTCTTGTGATGTAGGTGAAGAAGGTCCAAAATAATGATGTGCATCAAGTTGTTGAAAGAAGATTGACTTACTAGTGTGTATGCTTAATAAATTACGCATGAGTGAGAGGACCTTTTCTTCTCTTTTGTATTATGTTTTAAACTTAAAATGTGTGCTAGGTTTAGCACTTAAAAGTTTGTAAAAATAATGATATTCCTAGAATAATTCTATAAATATTAAATAAATGGATGTGTTTGATTCGGTTTAATTAAAGTTTAATAAATAAAATTGATGGTTTCGACTAATAAAATCGATTTAAGTGATCAATTATATTAAATAAGAAAATTAAATTGGGTTTAATTAGAATTAAATGGCTAAAGGATTAAATGAATTAATTGAATTAATGACTTTAATTTAATCAACATGAATAGGTTGGATTTAATAAGTTGATAGCAATTGGATTTAATTGGTAAAGAATAATTGAGCTTAATAGTTTAAATTTAATTGATTTTAGTTCAAATAATTGAAATTGATGTTTTCTAATCTTAAAATGCTTTTCCAAGGATTTAATCCATAAGTTAGCTTTGAAAGGGCTAAATTATCATTTTAATTAAGTTGATTAATTGGTTTACTAATTTAAAATATTTTTATAACAATTATAAGTTATGGACTAATTTAATTGGTGATAAAATAAGTAAAGGCAAATTGACTATTTTCTAATTAAATGGATGAGTTTACAATTAATTTCGATTTTAAAGGAAATTTATATATAACTAAATCAGTTTAAGATGATTATTTCATTTTATGATTAAATTCGAATTTCGATAAATGGAATTGGAAAAAAATTAAAGAGACAAATCAGCTTACTTTGATTTAAAGTATTTTATTAAAGTATTAAAATTAAGTTTTGTGACTACAAGTTTTTAAGCAAAATTTTAGACAAGTATTTCTATATAATTGACAAAAGAGTATAACTAATTTTATTTAAAGTTTGAACTTGACTAATTAAATCAAATGAGCTTCTGCGATGTGTATTAATAATTAAGATAATAATTAAGGAAACGAGACTTAATGCCTTGCATTCATTGCATTTAAAATGTCGAGATATTAGAGATAATTCTCTTGACTTATTTAGATCCTAAGTTAGAGATGTTACAATGAGAGCCCCACCTAGCTAGCAAGCACTAAGAATATCATGAAATGGAGGAATTAGGGTTTTGGGTTGACGTGCCTAACCTGAGGATTTTGATAGCGTGAAATATCTTGGTCTTTGGTTATTTAATGGGAAAGCATAAGATTAGCTAGGAACTGTAAACAACAGTTCGTTTATTGAGGGTTGGGAATTTGAAACGACAAGCCGCTTTAGGTATGCAAGAAGTGGATTCTGTCTGAAGTTTGTGTGTTTATTTTATGCATAGCATTTTATAGGAAATTGGTAAAAAGAATATATATTTTACAATTAACATATAAACTTAATTAATTTATTTAAAAATATTTTTAAATCATGAAATTTCATAAAATATTTACAGAAAATAGTAACTAATAATATTTTTCAATTATTTCCACTACCATAAAATTTGTTTCATATAAAATGTTTTTTTTTTATTCACGTAAAATATTTTCTTAAAACTAATGACCCCTTGCACTGCAATTAGTATTAGAGCGCATTTAACATGGTTCCTGCATAAAATGTTTTTTTCCTTTTTAAGCCTAGCCCAATAGTTTTTTTTTTTTTTTTTTTTTTTTTTTAAGTGAGAACGGAACACGTTGAACATACCAAAAGACATCCGCTAGCCCCAAATTTTGAAGCAGTCCATTCCACGTACGAAATGATAATTTCTTTAGCACCAAGGAGCAAAGTATATAATTTTTAAATCTCTACGGTATCCCAAGTGTTGTTGTTTTATCTAGGTATAACTATGTAATTTTTTTAGCTTAAATAAATACCTAAATGCGATATCACTTAATTAATTAAGTAATTAGAGTTTTTTTTTTCATTCAATTCAATGGTCTTGAATAATATATAACCTATTTTAATTATTAAATCTGTGGCATGTATGAATTTAAAAAATCTTAATTGCATAAGGATTTCAGAAATCTTATGGGTTTCAGATCGGCATTGTCCAGCAATATAAAACTTGTAGGATTAGAATAAGACTTGTATATTTCCTAAAAATATATGAGGTGATTTTCAATACATGTATGTGCAATCCTTGACAATTCGCTCATGGACCATCGTCCCTGATCCTATTTATCAGGTTCTTCTCAAAACCCTATTGTACATGACAATTTTGCATTGTTAGTTTTTGTTTGTTAGAAAAGAATCTAGCTGACCTTGCATGCATTCAAGAATTTGAGCTTAACCTCAAGGCTAAAATTTGCTTGCTTGTAGTATGATTCAATGTGCCTGTCCCCACGAGCGTGAAGGTTTTTGTTCTTTGTAATTATGCAACTGTTTTTAGTTCTTTCAAGGATTATGTGGATGGCATATATACTCTTTTACCACGGTGGATCTGTTGTGCAAAAATGCCATTTCAAGTGCATTACTCTTTTCAATGATTCTTCCCCTATCTATATATGCATGGCGCTGTGCTTTGATAACTTGTGATGTCCAAGATTTCATAATTGAAAGGGTTAATGGTTGGCAATATCTCTCTATTGTTTTGTTAATTAAGTCATTTTGTTGTTATTTTATGTTTTAATTTTGTCCTTTTATCTAAATTTTCAAATAGTATTATCAAAACACACATGATATTGATACGTGATAATTTTTTTTAAACAAATAAATTTATAAAAAAAAAAATCAAAATCTTTCTCTTTTTCTCTGCCTTTCACTTTCTCTCAAATCCAAGCCAAAAAAGCTCATGGAACAAGCAGTCCATCCTTTGGCTGCCAAATTTACTAATGTTCAGTTTGCCAAGATCAATGTTGATCAGTCGTCCGTATATACTGTACTAACAATATTTTTTTAAATAAGAAAACCCTATTAATTCTTGTTTTTCAATTTTTATTAAAAGAAGATTGATTGTTTTTGAGAAGATGATGAAGATAGAGATGAGAGAGATTGTTTCGAGAGAGAAACGACATTAATTGGTCAGATTAGTAGGCTACGTGTTAATTTTTTAGGGTATGAAAAGTGATGGGAAAGATTTATTATTAACCAAAAAATAATGTATGATAGTCAAATAAATTTTTTGAAGTTATAATTATATATGAGTTTGACTTATAGTTAAGGAGATTTCTATATAATTGAGCCTTAATTACATTTGAAAATTTAATTTAAATTGGATTGCATGGATGTTCGTTTCAATTTTGTACTAACAATACTGTACTACCTACTGCTTTTTCTTTCCTAAACAACATGTCCTTATATATGACTCCAAACGTGATATGAGAGATAAGTACCATAAGGTTATTAAGACAAACATGGTGGGTGATATATCCTTCCATTTCAATGCTATCGATTTTTAGATTTGTATTTTGTAGAATATTTGCTGGAGTGTGCAAATTTTTTGGAGAGGATGACAATTCGAAGTCGCATGAATTTTACTCGTGTGCAGGAAAGGTAATAGAATCTGTAGTTTGATAGGAACAGAATTCAGAATTTTTAAAATTTTCATCCTTGGACTGACTTATATATCAGTAATAACATGATTGCCCCTATGCAGTCAGCTTTATTTCTCAAATCTCATAATAAGCTTCTTAAGCCCTAATGCATATATGTAGTTCTAACTACTGCATTTTCTTTTCTGGTTTCAATCAACCAATTCTACAAAACCTAATGAGTCAACACTTTAAAGTCTCATCTTTGAGTTGCAAGAGGGTAGGTGCTTCTTCGCATAAAAGTTCCTGAATGATAGAATGAAAATAATCATCATCAAGAGCCATTTCTTCTCCATTACCAACTATCTGACGTTGTCGAAGAGCATCATTAGAATCAGAAGGCTCAGTGGATAGAATGTCATCAGTAAGCAACATGTTGTAATATTGCAGCTGATCTTCAGGTGCATCAGCGCCATCCAATGACAGATGCTCATCACTGTTGTTGTTTGTGGCTGCGTCTTGCTCGAGTATTGCATCATTTTCATGATCAGGAAGGAGGCTGTGTGGTGGGTTCACACTCACAGAAACAAATGTGGTTGACATTGCTAGCCGATCACCCATGGAGCGCTTGCAATTTTTATCCATATCTTCTTCTTCATAATCTAACTGCCTCTTCCTCTTGGGTTTCTTCTTCCTTAAACGGCACACAATAGTTGCAGTAGGAGTGCTGACAATATCATTAGCAACAAGGCTGTATCCGTGCATCATCCAAGCACCATTCTGAGCCTTGGATTTGGGATTCTTGTAGTTGAATATCTTGACAAGCCACTGAATTCTCGAGCCACCCACTCCGCTTGTTTCGTCCTTCATCCTGCCATGTACCGCCGGATGATCCAACTTGGCGATTAGTTCGAGATATTATTGGGCTCATCTTCTTGAGATTGGTAAAGAAGAATAAGTTCTCGTTGTCAATCCCTCCAAAGGCATCCCAAATCTCCCATGGTTCTTGGTGGCCATAAAGATCACAAAAAGGGACAGTGGAATCAGAAGGTAAAGGAAAGCCTTCGACATTCTTGTAGAGATAATGGATGACAAGATCACGATCAGAAGGCTGGAATCTGAGACCAATTGGAATCCCAGAAAAACCCACAGTGCTCTTGGATAATTCTTTATCCAAAGAACCCACAACAACCACGGAGGAAGAAGAACAAGCCATTATTTTGTTCTGATTATGAATTGATTAAAAAAAAACAATCAAAATATGAAAGAAGAATACTGAAAACAAGAAAGAAAGAAACTTTTGGTTTGGATAAGGTAACAAACCTGATAAGAAACGGAAAGAACCTCAATTTGAATCCGCAATGGCAAACTCACCACTTTCAATTTGACTTGACAAAAAGAATAATAAAATTATGAGAGATTGTGATCATTGATAAATACCCAGAAAATAAATTGAGAGCACTAGACGGAGAGAAATCAACTGAGAGAGTTCAAGAGTAGGGGTTTCCTTGAATAAGAAGAGAAGGAAGATAGGTTTTTCTTTTTCCAACGGCTAGTTTATTTGGCGGTGGAGGGCTTCTCACCTAAATTACTAACCTACCCTCAAAATTACGCGGTTTTTATGCTCATTGCTATTACTTTTTAGCTTCATTAGTAATAATCTGCCCTCATTAGTAATTTAGCATTTCTAATTCTACGCGGTTCTTGATTTTTTTTGGGCTTCTTTTTTAATTAAAAAATTATAAAATATTGGATTTTAGATGGTTAGATCTGCACCTACAAGTCCAGCCTCACCCATCCGTTCTGCTTCCAATGTTTGCAGGAACTAACCCAATTTCTTTGTGACCAGTCCACCCTTTTCTACTTGTAGGGTTTTGTTTGTGAGGTATCTGACTGCATGTGACCAAATTAAAGCATGAGTTTTCTGAACTTCTTTACGTTTATTTATTTGTGCTTTCCTTTGGGTTGTTTTCAAATTTGAATTTGTTTGTGAAAAAATCAGAAAGATCGAGTTTTTTTGTGTGGGTGCATTTGGTTGCTGAGAAAATTCAAGGGAGTGAAAAGAAATGGGCAAGTTGTATTTTGGGTTAATTTTTATGTAAGTAATGGTGTTGCTTGTAGGTTACTATCTTGTTTGCTCAAGCTTTACGAGTATTTATGGGTTATATTAGGACAGTTAGGCAATTGATGGGATATTGTAATTATCTAAATTTTGCCTGAAGATAGTTTGATATTTTGATAGTGTGTTTTGAGTTTTAGTTAGTCTTTGATGCTCGTATGGACCTATAGTGATTTATTGAGTTGCTATAGAAATTGAAATACTGCAGAAATTCAATCTTCAATCGGTATGGGAGACAAACATTGGACCTCCATCATCCCTGATTCGACCTTTATGCCTTTGTCTTTTCCAAAGGATGGTGATATTGATGTTTATGGCATCAAGTAATTTTCCTATGATTGTTATTAGTTGAGTGTCTTAGTATTCTTATCTGGTAATCAAGTCTTCTTGTCATTGGGGGTTTGTAGGTATCAAATGCCACTTGCTCTGACTGGATTGATATCGATCAAGCCTCGCACTTTGGGATATTTTCAAGTTCTTTAATGACAGGTGGGGATGGGATCAATGTGGTAAGAGATCAAGTATTTTCCTTTAGTTACCATATATCATTATCTCTGTAACTAAAACACATGGTGGGTACTTTCAAGAATGCTAGTGATAGAGCAGACTATTCTGGAAAATCATGGTCACTGGAATTTAATTTCTTTTGCCTCTTTCGCAAGCATTTGGTTCCAATAATTGAACAAGGTCCTGCATTTAGGGTACAAAGGTACAATCGGTGCTAATTGAAAATTGAATGCTTTTCCATCTCAATCCTGCATTTGTACCTCAAAAACAAATGGTAGAATTGGAGTAGTTGAAATTCTTTAAACATTATGATTTCTTATTACTTCCATTGCCTGTTCCTATTTGACTTCTTTTTTTTTTTTTTTTTTGAAATAAATGGTAAAACACATGATGTTCCTTTTTTTTTTTTACTAAAGAAAATGGGATGTTCAATTATGGAAATTTAAGCACAAGAATTATCTTTCATTTTTTACTGAGAAACTTTGGCTATTAGGTCCTATTGCTAAAATTCAATAAAATACGTTCAAGGAGGCTTTCAAATCCTGCCGACGACTCCTTGAAAAGCCATGCTAGCTTAGCACTATGAAGAGGCTCGTAAGACTTCAATATCCCACGACAACTGCTTTGAGAGGAAAGAGTTGTTAAATGATTATAATAATAGTAAAAATGATAAAGGTGATTATGTTTAAAAGAAAAGGAGATGACAATAGTAATAGTAATATAGTAAAGATAGCATTAATATATTTTAAAAAATTAATTTCATTATCACCATAAGAGATGGCACATGAAAAAAAAAGTGTTGATAATAGTGATATAACAACCAAAAAAATAATAATAATAAAAAAATCAAATGAATGCATCAAATTCAACAAACAAATAAATGCACCAAATTTATATATATATATATATCAAATGAACGCACTAGATTAAACAATCAAAATGCAATACCAAAAAAGGAAAAAAATAAAAAACGTAATCGGATAGTCTAAAGGAAAGCGACTAGGTAGCACAATGTCATTGAGTTACGGTCTATAATAACTTTGAGTCATGAAATTATTGAGTGGTATTGAGAAAGTTGTGTATGAACTTTAATAGAACATTCTGTTAAAAGCATTGTAATCCTAAACAAAAGGCATTGCAAATCTTGTGACAATTGTGATGCCATTTCCCCAGAATTTAGTGTGGTTTTGACAATTTATTCACTGAATTCTGAAAACACACCTTACGAATTCTGGAATTCGGTAATTGCATCACCGAATAAAATTAAAGTAGACTGCTGGGACTGAAGTCCCAAAAAGGTAGTGTCTTCTACCTTCTAAGGGAAGGCATTGTTGAAACTACGTCGAAAGCTCTATAGGCGCTTGAAGTCACTGCAAAAAGTGCTTTCAGATTGAGTTGTCCCATTAAGAGATACATAAGCAAACTTTAACTTTGAAAGCATTGTTCTTTTAACTAAAGTTTTTTTCTTTTTTTTTTTTTTTTTCATTTTGTGGCATAACATTTTATGCCTTCCCTAATACAGAATGGATTGTAAACTGCCTAAAGTTTCTCCGTTTGATGGCTTTTGAAGTTTCTTCTACCTTCTGTTTCTGAAATTTAAAAGCTTTAATGTTTTATTCTGTTTTGTGTACACAGCAGAATACATGGACATAAGCTCGCCATTCCCTAAGAAATCTGCCAATATCGGTGACAATGTGGATGGGATCAGCAAGTTGCCAGTTGAAGTTATTTCTCACACAATCTCATTTCTTACAACAAAACACGCAGTCTCCACCAGCATTCTATCCAAAAGATGGGAGTACATTTGGACACTAACCCCAAATCTGGATTTTTCTGATCAATTTTCTTATAATATTGCAAGAGACAATAGTAATAATGCGACAGTTTTCAGGTCCTTCAAGGATTATGTGGATCAGGTACTCTTTTATCATGGAGGGAGAATTATACGAAAATGCGTTTTCGAATGCTCTACTGAAGACGTTTCCCCATATATTTATGTGTGGGTTTGTGCTGTGATAGCTCGTAATGTGCAAGAATTAACAGTTGAAACCAGTTCCTGCAATCTTCAGCCGCTGCCTTGGAGAATTTTTACTTGCAAAACTTTGGAGGTTTTGGAGACTTAACGGGATGTTTGTCTTAGACTTGCCTATGAATATCTTTTTTTCCATGCCTTTGAGACCCTCGGTATTGCTCATGTTGTATCTGTTGATGATGCTTCAATGCACAGGCTCTTTTCTAGCTGCCCTGTCCTTGAGCTTCTAGTACCGTCTGGCGATGCTATGTCGGTATGCATTCTGAATGGCTATATTTTTCTTGATCTTGAATATCATTGATTGCTGTTCTCTTTTTCCCTACAATGTAATCATGGACTCTATGCAATCAATGCTTTCTTTTTTCTAGTCTGTCAATTCTGTTGTTTGTGATTCTACTCTGCCCACATTCCATTACCTTACCAAACTAGTGCTATATGTTGGTGAGTTTATAAACTGGGAATCCCTGCCAGACTTGCTTGAGAGCTCTCCTAATCCTGAAATTCTCGTATTTCCAGCTAAGTGTTTGCTCTCAAGTCTGAAGACAATTGAAATTAATAACTTCGTGGGAATGTCTGGCGAGAAATATATTGTAGAATATTTGCTAGAGTCTGCCGAAGTTTTGGAGGAGATGATAATCCGAGGTTGCAAATTTTTTGGAAGGCCAAGAATGCAGAAGAAGCTAGAGGCTCTTAGGAATGAGATATTAGACTTCCCAAGAGGTTCTATTGCCTCATTTTCTGGTAAATGTATGATGTGGAAATATTTGCCTTCTCTTTTTGCTATTGTATACCATCTGAAATCACTTGTTCAAATGATGTTTTTGATGCTGCTTCTGTAGTTACAGTGGTGATATGTGCTAGTAGAAAATTCGTATTACTGCAGTTGTAGATAAATTTATTTGATTGTTTGTGTAAAATATCTGAACTCCTCTGTTTTGACCGTCAAGTCGCTTTCAGCCTCTGGTTTTGTATCGCTTATTGCTTTACAATTTGCTCTGTTTATCCTTGCTAGTGGAGACTGAATTTTTAGGATTCTCATATTAGCATTGACTTGAAGGAATGAGAAGGAGATTTGGCTACAAGAAAATATGTGCTTATATATAAACTCATTTGGAGCTCTAAAATTCAAATGTAACTTCATTTTTTCCCATTTGGAGTAAGAGATCTGAGCTCTAAAATTCAAATGTAACGTTCTTTAATGTAAACTATTAGGGAATAATTTTCTGGAGCAGTCTCTTGGTCCCTTGGGACAATCCTTGAAATGTGTTGGTACAGTGTAAAGTTTAAAATATAGGCTACATTCCTGAATTTTTCCTAAATTTTAAGTCATTTGTTTAAATTTTTTATTGGTTTTGGATATTCTTAAATTTTTAATTTTTTTAGATTTAGTCTATTTAATTATTTTAAGTTATCATTTTTTCTATAAAAAATTTAATTTTTGATATTTTGATCTGAAATTTTTCATATAAATTTTAAAAAATTCAATCCATTTTATAGATAAATTTCAGAATTTTTCAAAATCGAAAACTATATTTATTTATTTATTAATTAAATATTAAAATTATAGAAAATCAGAAAAATAGAAAATAACTCCAAAATGAGCTTAAATTTTTTGAGCACGTCCACATAAATCTTATTAGATGATTTTCATTATAAAATTATTTATGTGAGCATTATTTTTTTGAAATAAATGATAAAAAATTAAAAATTTAAAAATCTTACAAACTAATAAAAACATTCAATATTCAAACTTCAAATGACTTGAAATTCATGATGGTTAGATCCTTTAGTCCGAAAATATATATAGAAGTTCTTTGAGTGAAGGACTTCTTTCATTTTCTCTACGGGTTCCTTCCATGCATATCCAAACAACAAAAAAGAAATCATTAGTTTGACTCTCTCTCCTCTTATTTCAGTTCTTTCATCTTCCATACTACGCTGTTTTTCAAAACATCGTTTAAAGATCATTACAGCCATGACCTTATAAATGCTACGATATGAACTCAAAAGATAAAAAAGGACAAAAGCTCAAGCACCATTTTGGAGTTTATCAGACATACAGAAACTCAAACCAGAAACTTGCAGCTTCTCTTGAATAAGATTTTCCACACGGCCCACCATTGAAGGTGTTAGATAATTCAGTGAATCTCCCACCTTTCCTTTCCTGAGGAAGGCACTAGCTGGAATTCCAAGAGGGCCTGTGCCACTCTTGGTTGCTTCATAGTTTTCCATGCTTTCAAAGCTGCATAGCTTCGATATTTCTTCGATCAAACCTTGCTTCTCTTCATCCACAGAAAAAGGAAACCCCAGAAAATCAGCCAGCTTCTTAATGTGAAAGACATTGTTCTTTTTCATGTCCTCGTATTTAAGAAACAAGACCTTATCAGGTGTCTCTATGCTTGCCTTCCAATACCCTAACAAATGATCCCAAAACGGACCATAGCCATGAACTCCTTGACAAAACTTGTCAAAAGCATCTTCCAGTGAAACATGTTTCTCATTTTCCTTTCGAATATTGCCACTAAATTTCCAATAGGAAATGAACATGTCTAAAGGATTCCGACACACATACACGATTTTAGTAGCAGATTCTTTGACTGAACGGGGCAGTGCCAAGTAAGGTGAGTGAGTTCCAAAAATTCTAGGCTTGGCAAGCTTGTCTAGTTCCTGAAACTGGTTTTTGGAGCTGAAATCAAACTCGAGAAAGGGTACAACCCCATGAGGGCCGTTGGTAAACAAAGGGCTCTCTTCAAGTGAGTAATGAGAGCGATTGACTACAGTATAAGCCAAGGCCTTTAACCAAGTGGTACCTGATTTTGGAATGCTAGCAAGGATGATGTCAGTTTTTTGTGCTTTGAAGTGGTGTTGAAACAACATCATGCCCTTAATTGATACTTTTGGACACCAGAATCCTTGGTATTGATAGAGAATATTACCTCCCATGCCTATTTCTGTTGGCAGGTTTTGGACCAACTCTTGGGATTCAACATCTATCTGCTCTGCCTCCTTTTCGGTGATTTCTCTTCTCTCCATCGAACTAGGAATAAGACTAACAGTAAAGAAGAATATTTAAGAAAAAAAAATGAAGTATGATCGGTAGAGAGAGTTTGGAATAACTTGTTGCACCAAACTTGAGATCACAGCAAGCCTTATATTGCCAGCATTATGGTTGGAATTTGTCGTCTTTTAGGCTTGACTGATATTGTAAATTGGCTTGAACCTTCGTGGGTAGTAGGTGGTTCTATTATCTTGCGCCAGGGTTGAATTCATTTAGAGTTGATTCAAAGTAAACTCATAATTGACTGAAAAAAAAATTTGTTCCTTTTCAAAATGCATGATTTATTGTCTTTGATAGAGTAGAAATAATGCAACTTGACTGCTGTCTGTCAAACACGAGCTGCAACCTCAAATTGCCTTCCAAAAATTCCAATCCTGGCGATTGAAATCCTGGGCACACTATAGTCTATACACATGGCAATTGACAGCTCTCTGTGAAGGTACCCAAAAGGGTGATGATAGTTGTTGGATATTGTGCCTTAGAGCTTTGCACTAATAGTTCAACTTGTTCTCTTGTAATGTTCTGCGCTTTCAACATAACTCTATATATTATGGTTTTAAATAATGTTTAAATTTATATTTTTTTTCATTAATTTTTTTGATTATAAATATTTTTTTTAATTGAAATGACTTGATTGAAATTAAAAAAAAAAAAACCAAAAAAGTCTTTTAAAGTCATATAATCGACATATGATATCTCTAGCTACTTGGAAACGTAATGTCTAGTGGGGTGTTGTCATTTTATGATGGGAAAAGGAAACTTGGTCAAAAGCTAAAAGGCAACAAATCCATGTTTGACGGTAACTCTTTGAAAATGAATTTCCTTCTAGATCAAATCAATTGTTGATCCGTTAAAGGAGACTTGTTAGCTCCTATGTTTGACTGGATTAAGATCAACACAGAAGGAGCTTTGATTGCATCTTAGGGGAGCACAACCGCAAATGAATGGCTTTGATTCATGAGGTGCTTGGGAGAAAGGTTCCAAGTTGAAAGTAGGCAGAGTTAGAAACTGATTCTGATTCCTTAGCTATCGTCACCCTTATCAAGGCCACTGAAAACGATTAACAATAATATTGTATTCATGGATTAATCATATATTCTTGATATGCCTTCTCTATTCTGTTACTATAAAAATATTGCCTTGCTGAAATTTTCTACTTTCAGAATACAGAAATTTTCAGCCATGTATGTGAACTTCATTGTCTTTATATACAGCATTCTTAGAATGGAGTTCACAGATTCAAATCTATTGGATTATTTGATATAAATTTATCATTTAAAGCACGTTGAAACAGTTCAATTAAATGCATAGTCGTGTGATGTAATAGCATTTTATAGAGAAACACTTGCAAGTTCTGAATCTGCCTGTGGATTGTAGGAACTTTTCAAACACGTTTTAGTATATATATATATATATATATTTTAACACGTTTACCCAAAGCTCATAATATTTTATTATGATTTTCTTTGTTAAAATTTCAAATCAAATTATTAATATTTTTTGAAAATCAAAAATTTTTTTTTTTATAAAAAAAATGACTTTTTAGCTTGGCTCATGATAAGTATAATTTATACATATATTTTATATAAACTTCGAGCTTGAATTTATTAATTATGTATGTGATTTATGTTTTATTTGATATAAATTAATCCTTGCATACTTTAAATTTATAAATATAAAAAGTAGAGGAAAGACTAAAGAAATAAGGTAAAAATAAGTACTGAAATGAAAGTAAAAATCAAAAACAAGAATTAAAGAGTAAAAAGAAAAAAATGTTTGACTTAACACTTTAAAAAATCAATTCATGAGGAGACTTACGTGCTGGACTAGAGAAAGGAGAGGCTAGCTATAAAGGAAATAGCATGATAAGGTGGACTTTAGGCACGACAGTGTACACAAAAAAAGGAAGGGACGACAGTAATAAGCATAAAGAAAAACCAACAAAAGGTTTGTATGCTCACAGAGCAACTGGCAGCAAAGAGCAAAATAAAGCACAGGTCGCCAGAGAGCAAACTGGGATGGTAGAGTGGGAAGGAATAGCAGATACATTAGACAGTAATTGATTTTCTTTTTATTATTATTTGATGGATTTTCAATGAAATATCTTATTTTCAGATCTAGTAAATTTTTTTATGTTGAGATAAACTCTTAAGTTAAGGATGGATGATTTTAATTCTTATTCTATGTGATTAAATATTTTTCTCAATCCAAAACCCGATTCTTGACGTATGATGAATTTATATTAGTGCATTTAATATTTTAAGAGAGTGATCACCTCTTATTGATTTAATGACATATGCTTGAGTCCGAAAGGGAATTGTATGCGTTAGATTATAATAATATAAATCACTAGTTTACTATTAATCGAAAGATAACTTGTTCTAGTACAATAATGGAAAAAAGAAATGTGTGATGGTATGCTTATTTTACATTAGAGGATTCCATTGATTCTAATGCATTTAGATCTTAATTGAAGTCGTATAGAAATATGGATGATTTGTTAAATGAAGAATATGGTTAATCCGACTAGAGATAGCTTATTAACTTGTTCGAGGAATTCCGTCGTCACATATATTAAGATAAATTTTAAGGTAATTTGTGAGTTAAGATAATAAAATTAATTGTATAAGTTAGAATTAAATGAATCTATTCCTAGTTGCTTTCATAAAATTTTATTAGTGATTTTCAATTCTGCAAATTTACAATAAAGTTCTAATTTAATTTTTATTCTTTTTATTGTTTCGATTAATTCAACTTATTTTAAGTTAGATAATTTTAGTAGTACAATTTAATTTCTTGTGGGAATGATACTTTTTTACCCTTTGTTGCACGATTAGATTGGATTTATTGCTTATTTGATTGTGTTTTTTTTAAAAAAAGTAGTAACGATTCAAGAAAAAAAATCAAAATTCGAAGAAAAGATTAAAAAAAAAAATTTAACCGAAAAGTAAAAAACCGAATCGAAAAATTTGGTTTTTTAATCGAAAAACCAAATCCCAATTCGGCTTAATTGGTTTCGTTTTTTGTTTAATCAATTCGATTAACTAAAAATTAAAAAAAAAAATCAAAACCGAATGATCATCCCTAATTGCAAGAACTTTTCAAACACGTTTAGATAGATGCAATACTCGGAGATGAGAAAGTGTTGACTCATTAGGTTTTGTAGAATTGGTTGATTGAAACCGTAAAAGAAAATGCACTAGTGAGAACTATATGCATTAG